AACCTAATTGTACTCCATCACACGTATTATCAAGTACAAAGCACTCCATGACTTTTAACTATACTGATCCCACTTGTATCTCTTATCCTCATCCACTTGCCCCAAGTAAGTCAATCTCTGGACACGTGGCATCCATGCAAGCTTCCTCATCAATTTCACCCATGTTTCAATGACAAACCACAAGCCCAAGTTTTCTTCTGGACCACATGTTGTTCAACCCATTTATCCCATGAACCTTGAGGACAAGGTTTTTTATGGGCCTGGGAGTAGTGTTATGAAGAAAGATAGGCCCATTAGAGAGAAAAGAAGATCAATTCGCTTAAAAGATTATATTTAAGATATTAGGTGCAATTAGAAACTTTGTTATGTTATCTTTTGGACTTTTGTGTGAGTAGTTGGTTGGCCCATGGCCCATTAGGTTTGTAAACCTAACTATATAAGTTGTAATTGTGCTCTTGTTGAAGTAAGAAGAAATATTGTTTTATCTTATTGTCCTCTTATGCAATTTTATATCTTAGGTTAACTTTGTATAGTCTATCATTATACGTCACAATATTTCATTTGTCAAATTTTGAAATTTGTTTTACAATCATAAATATTCACAAAATTATAAATATAGATTAATAATATACATAAACCTTTATGCATGGATCCAAGTAATATTTTCAAAAATAATACAAATATGACTCAACAAATCATGAGAACGTACTAACTATAAACTTGAAAACATTAAAAATTATGTATAAATTTTAGCGTCATCGCTCTCAATCAAACGCAAGTGAGTTGTCAACACATGTTTTGAAAATTTTGATTTAAAATCAGCAATCAGTTCATTGTCTCTATACTCTCTTAAAGCTTGCTCAAAATTATGCATAAATTCCAAAATGCAGTATTTCTTCCTGATACAACTCATGATTATTGCATTAACAGTTTCACATTGAGACGTAGGGGGTGGAAAACGGGCATGCCCACCCCGTTTAAGCCCGCACTACAAAAGCCCGCAACAAAACAAGACGAGGTGGGGCAGGGCGGACATAGTTGAGGATGAGGGCCTAAAACCTAGGCTTGCCCCACAAAAAAGTGAATGCAGGGCAGGGAAAGCTCGCAGGAACTACACCTTTTAAGCCTAAAAATACAAAATTTTATGTTAATACTCGTGCTCGCAAAAGCTCGCGAAGAAAACAACGCGGGGAGGGCGGTCACGTTAGAGAGTGAAAGCCTAAATTTTTAGTCTGCACTGCACTAAAGTGCAGGTAAAATAGACATGCCCAACGGGCCGGACCTGTTTTGCCATCCCCGTAGTTCTTATATGTCCAAAAAACTTATCACATAGATATGCAGTTGCCCATAATGACCTGTTTTCATACGTTTTTTCAACCCAAATATTTCCTTCAAGTTCGTTTTCTTTAATTATCTGACAAAAACTCTTCAAACTGATCCTTTGTAAAATTTGAGTACATGACTTTTTTAAAATCTTCCAAAAATTATGACTTCTTTACATTCTCACCTGCATTCTTATTCAAATGCCAAACACATAAACGATGGATCGAATTAAACTAATGGAAATATGACTCAACAAGTTATGAGAACGTACTTATTATAAACTTGGAAAGGAAAGATGTTACTTATGTTATGTCGTAAAGTTGAAGTTTCTTACATTAAAAATGTAAAAAGAAAACATTTTAAATATCTCAAAATCAATTTGTACACAATAAACTAAGCACATGTTTTTCCATCTTACAATGTATGAAGAAATATATCTTAGTGGTTCCAATTTCCAAAATGCAAAATCTATAATTAAGATTGTGTTTCAAAGATGCATAAACTCTTTCCTGTTTATAAAAATATTTTTAACAAATAATAAATTTATTTCTATTTATAAAAACAATTGTATCAACAGTATAATTTTCTCATTTATAAAAATATTTGTAACAAACAATACGCTTTTTCTCGTCTATAAAAATAATTGTATCATCGATATACCTTTTCCTGTTTATGAAAATAATTGTTTCAATAACCCACTTTTTTCCGTTCATAAAAATAATTATATTAATGGTAGATTTTTTCTCGTTTATAAAAATATTTGTATCAATAATACAACTTTTCCCGTTTATAGACCAGATTTTAAAATTACAGTTTTTTCTATTTATAAAAATATTTGTATTAACAATAATTTTTTTTCCATTTATAAAAGTATTTGTATAAACATAGACTTTTTTCGTTTATAAAAATATGGATTAAATATGTTTAAAGTCTCTCTAAAGTTAGGCTTTTTCATTTTCATCTCTCTAAAAAATTTCGTTAAAGAATTGTCCCTCTAAATATAGGAGTTTTAATTTTTGGTCTGTCCAGCTAAAATCGTCGCTAATTCAGCCGCTAAGTAGTAAATCGCTGCTAAAAATCGTCGCTAATTCAGGCACTAAGTTGTAAAAACCATCACTAAGTTGCAGGAGAGATCAAAAGTTAAAATTCTTAACTTTAGAGGGACAATTCTTTTACGAAATTTTTTAGAGGGGTGAAAATTGAAAATGCATAAACTTATAGGGACTTTAAACATATTTAACCCTAAAAATATTTGTATCAACAATAGACATTTTTTCTGTTTGTAAAAATATTTGTATCAACAATATACTTTTTTCCGTTTATAAAAATATTTGTATCAACAATAGACTTTTTCCCGTTTATAAAAACATTTATATCAATAACACACTTTTCTCATTTAAAAAAAATTGTATCAAAAAAATTGGAATTAAGCTATTGATTAACTTAATTAATAAGAAAGAAAAAATAATAAGAAAGAGTCGCCACCGAATTTTATTGTTTCCAAAGGAATGAGAAAATATCGATAAAACCCAAAAAAAGAAAGATCTAGGTACGGGGGTTGGTTATACAAGGGGAAGATATTAGCACCCCTCACATCTACGGTACCACGTAGAAACTTCTTGAGAATATGTGTTAGGCTAAAACGGTCATTTGCGAAAAGATTGCGGAGATGAGAAAATAAGTATTTTTAGTTATTTTTGATTCGCCAAGACTACGTGAGTCCTGTGCCTACGTACCTTCTTTGTGCAATGAAGAAGTCAGAACCACATAGTTCTTGTAAAAAATAATAAAATGGTGTTTGTTTGATTGATTTTAATAAAAAGATATTTCATTATTTTCAAGTGGAAAACTCAACTTATCACCCACAAGTATGAGAAAGTGGACATTTGCATCATCTTGATGGAGAACTTTAACTTAGATAAAATTAACAAGCATGTCTCAATATTCTAGTTGAATATGTCAACATCTCTCAATCATACTATAGGAACAGGAGATTTATATCATAACAAGCAGATAACTTATGTCAAATCTTTCTGAAAATATTTGAAAAGAAAAAGTGCAAAAGAACACAAAATTGATTTGATGATGTTTGTGTTTTTAAATTGTTTTGATATGCTTAAATGTTTTAACATTTATTGAGAAAAGTTTGGAAAACCAATTGGCAAAGTCAAAGTTTATTTTGAAAGTGGTTTAAGGTTTGAAACAAAAAGGTTTTGAAAAAGAGAGAAGATTTTGAAAATTTAAGAATGAGAGGAGATGAAGAGACAATCCTAAAGCATAAAGGAAATAAGAAGAAATAAATGTTCTCATTATAAGGTAGCTCAAGAGAAAGCCTTTGTGTGTGCAAGTGAACTAACTAGAATGAAGCAAGCAATTGACATTTATCCAACATAGCATCCATTTCCTTTTGGATTAGGCCAGAAACGTGCACAAATAAGATGAATACTATAAGGTTAAAAAAAATCTCTAAGCTTAAAGATCTCAGGACAAGCCAAGTCTCAAATGAATCCACAAAAAATCAGATGAAAATAATTAAAGCAGAGCCAAGTTTTCAAATATTGATCAATATTGCAGATGAATTTCCAAGGTCTATGGTACAAACTCCAAGCATGGGAACAAGTCTAAGTCTAAGTCTAAAAGTCCAATTTTAAGCAAAGGATAGTAAAAACAAGTCCATGGATCAAGATTAATGTGTTAATGCTTTTAGAATCAACTCTTCCAAACAATGTGTTAATGTTTTCCGAATGTCAAAATTTGATTATGAAAATTATTAAATAAAGTTCAAGTGAACCTGACGACAATGATAAAGAGTTTAATTGATAATTATTAGTTACAATATTTAAATTAGTATTTTAATATGTTAGTTTAGATTAGTTATTATATTGTTCTAGAAGTTTCTTAGGTCCTTTTGTGATTGTGCCACTTGGATGACTAAGATATGTTTAAAGTAGTATGTAAGTGTATGTTCTATTTGTATTGACACCGATCAAAAATCAAAGAAAGTAATTTTATTTCTTATTTTTTCTTGTTTATCTTCTTCAAAATTTAGAATTTTCAGCTTTTATTAGGTTTGTTAGGGTTTCTAGTTTAACATCCTAACACAATCACCAGTTGATCCATACGTTCTCCATGTGCCTTCATTTTGTTAGCAATGGATAAGGTCCGAGAAAAATATTCATCTACTTTCTCTCCATTCAATCTAGGTATGGCAGGTTGGACGAAATTGTGGTTCTCTGATGCCAATGACATAGTTGTTTGTTATCAAATCTTAAGTGTTTCTCTCACTTTCTCACTGTGTTTCACTCACAAAAAATCAAACTCTCTTTAAAAAAATACAGCTTCTTAATTCCCAATAAAACCCTAAAATAACCAAACCCTGTTAAAAGTTCTAATACCAAAATTGTTAGAGCAAAGTAGAAGGAAATGTGTTCAATATTATTCAAATGCAAGTTTGGGTTACAAAGAAAAAAAAGAAATTAACCCAACTCACTCCACTAACAGAAAACGTGAGTCATGGGAGACTAATTCAATCCTACCGGTGCTTCCTAATTAGTAGGAATTATTAACAACATTACAAAAACAAATACTAACTTAATATGACAACGTGAGTCATGAGAGACTAATTCAATCCTACTGGTGCTTCCTTTAACATTTAGTCTAGGAATCTATGAATCTAATTAATTAAAATTCAAATATCCCTCAATAACAACACTTTGAGCCGATGCCAAGGGGCGTAAATTTTCCAATTTTACTCCTTGATCTATGTTCTTGAATGGCAACAAAGGATCATACTGATTACATCCATTCCAAAGTGGCAAAATTTCTGTCACAAATTTATTGATATACTTCTTCTTAATACCCTCCTTAACAAGCTCTTGATATTCACTGAAATTCCCTCTCATATCTAATAGAACACTACACAATCCTTGACGATTACAATAATCCAAGATCACATCAAGATTTATTTGATCCACAGATACAGTTTTAATTCCTTTTTGAGCCTCCTCAGGAGGTGTTGTTGTACAATCCGTAAAGATTATCATTTTATCAGTAACGTTATCGATGATAAATGGAATTTGATTTGAAGAACCAGAACCAGAATCTCTATGCATTATAAACCGAATGGGTTGATTGGCTCCAGGTTCTTGAGATGAAGGTAAGGAGTCAACCGATATAGTTTCACGGAATAAAGAAGAGGATATTATAACTGCATCATATTCTTGTAATAGCCTAGAATAGTATCCACCAGAGTGAGTTACTCCACTCCCAAGTGAGTCCAACAAGTTTCCGTTGACAGAAAGAGAATACCTGTAATGCAGAAATAGCTCCAAATGAATCTTTAGAGAAAAGAAAGTTGGAGTATATGTGTAAAAATAGAGATGAAACTGAATTACCTCAAAGTAAGCAGAGGCTTCTGGGTCAGCATGTGATGAATATAACCCTCATTGAGGCCCTTACACAATTCTTCCTCAACACCAACAACAACTTCAATTCCAGCACCTCTCAATCTATCTAACCCTTTGGAAGCCACGATAGGATTTGGATCCACCATCCCAACAACAACCTTTTTAAGTCTAGCTTTAATGAGAGCTTCAGTGCAAGGCGGAGTCCTCCCAAAATGATTACAAGGTTCTAAAGTGACATACGCCGTTGCATTCTCGGCCAAATCAGCAGCATCTCTGAGAGCAAACACCTGAAAAATCTCAGAAATAGAAATGCAGTGACACGAAAATGATGATTTGAATTCAAAGAGTGTGAAACAAGTCTCACCTCAGCATGAGGTTGACCAGGTTTAGGATGAAAACCTTGGCCAACAATTTGACCATCTTTGACAATAACACATCCAACTAAAGGATTGGGGCTTGTACACCCCAAAGCCTTTCTGGCGAGCTCAACGCTTTTCCTCATGTAAAATCCATCGACATCACCATCATCGTCACGATTCTTTTGGGAACGAATGACATAGCTACTCTTCCCACGAGTTAGTCTGTCCCTGAATGTAAGTGATTTGGAAAAGCCATGATTCATATTGAGGGGAATGGGTGGATGAGGAGAGGCATTCATGCATAATCTGGAATGGTAAAATGGAACTGAAACTGCTACTGATAACCCCATTGCTTGCATGGTTGGAATGATGCGAAATGTGATTTGGTTTGGGACTCCGATTCACAAACAAACCTCTGTGAAAGAGTGATGGAAAGTACAGAGATTTAAGAGGAACAGAACAGCGTCAGCAACGTGATCCGCGCCAATTTGTTTTTCCCTTTTCACGCACAGTATTCCAAGACGATGAATAAGTTGTTATTTCACGCACAGTATTCCAAGACGATGAATAAGTTGTTATTTCACGCATGAAACACATGAAATATCATCTCATAGTATTTTAATATTATCAAGTAGTTTGTTTGTTTGTTTTTATTGTCATTTTTCTTATTTTATCAATTAAATGAGTTGGCCCATGTTCTTAGATCTAATTGCATGTGATTGGTAGTTGAGAAAAATTAATATGTAACCAATTGGCATTATATAATTGTTTTGGCATAATGAAAATATCAACATTGTAAACAATTTCCCCTTCTTCTCTAAATCAATTTATGTGCTCTGCAACTCTGAATCCAACATATAACATTATCATTGTTGTTGTTTTTAGTTTAGAGTATGATATTACGGGTTCCTCCCCGATATCTAAAGGGTTGGTATCAATTTGTATCAGTCGGATGAACCATGGCACCTTCTCCGTCTAGCTCTTTGCACGAACTTGAGCAACACCTTGAAGATCGCCTCACTTAGCTCCAACTTCAATAAAATGTTGACATGGATGCGCTTCGCACGTTATTGCATATTCAAGCAGATCAAGGCTCTATGGTGTCCATCGTTACGCAAGCCTCTACCAACAATCAACTCACTGCCTCAAACGGTTATGTTGTCCTCGTTTTATAGGTGGTGTTCCCTCGTTTGATGGGAAGCTTGTTAGTGACTAGCTTTACAAGTGTGGCCAATTTTTCTTGTTAGATGAAACTCCAGCGTCGTCGATGGTGCGTTTGGCATCCGTTCACCTCGATGGGTTGGCGTTGCAATGGCGTCTCAACTATATGCGTCAGAAGTTCAATATCTATCCTCCATGGCAATGATACGTCAGTGATGTTATTGCTTGTTTTGACGAGGTTTATGAAGATCCTTTGTCGTCGTTATTGCATATGTGATCACGACTTTGTGAGTCTTAAAGAATCTAGACCGCAAGTATATAATTCTATCACGTGTAGCTTTAAAGATTATCGAATCCCAAGGGACTAAATATCGAACTACCGTTATCTTAGGTTACTACGTAAATCTAAGGCTAATAATGTAATTAATAGGGGATTTAGGGAACCTAACTGATTATAATCTAGTTTAGATTCAAGGGAGAATATCGGTATGTAATGGTCAGACTTCGGGGATTTAACAACTCATTGACCTAACTCAGATTAATAAAACAGTTTTCAGTAGGAAGTATTTGTTTGAAAACCCTCTTCTCACACTCTCGTGTTTCTTGATTCAGATCCTACGATCAAACCTAAGTGAGTGCTCTCACTGTTTCAATTAGAGATTAAAAATAGTTTTTGGAAACAAACAAAACCTAATCAACTTAAAAGCGCTCTCACTGTATTTTAAGTATGTACAATTACCAATGTCCAGTTATTATCTCAAACTCTTGTTTTATTGATCCTAACTTCTATCTGTATTTTGCTCTCGTAACAAAACAATTAATATTTAGAACTAGTAATTGAAACCAGAAAATTATTCTTTTTAAAAAGGAACTGATCAATTGGCATTGCTAAACCCCGTTGGCTATATGACCTTACATACCGATAAACAAATTTAGCCTAGCATGTTAAACAATTCAATAACAGCGCAACAGAAATAACTACCATTAAACAATTTAAATAAACTAAACATTTCAGAGAATCCTGTCATAAATAAATAAAATACTTAAATTAAACCTGGAAATACTATGGCAGAATATTTGGTTGATTTCAAGTATCTCCCACAAATCGGTAAAATAAACGAAAAGAAATAATGCAGAAAATATTCGGCAGAGTAACAGTAAAAACAGAGAAAAGAAAACATGTTTAAAAATGGGGATTTGAGGTCCTAATTATAGGTTTGGAGACGCGCAGGGAGTTGAGATATTTTCTCCTCCGGATTTGCCTCCGTAGCGACCACTACGGATTGAAAGACTCTGTAACGGTCGTTACACTCCTTCTTTTGAGGAGGGACTAGCGCTGCAAGGTGTAACAGTCGTTACACCCCCTACTTTTGAGGAGGAACTAGCTTGGCAAGGTGTAACGGTCGTTACACCAGGATTAGGTGACGTGTAACGGTCGTTACACCCCTTGGACCTTGGGTGGATTGAGCCCAGCGTGTATTTCTTCTTTTGATCTTCCAAGGATTTTTACTTGTAATGCACCCAGTTTTGCCACACACCCCTCAATTGCATAATTTCTCTTTCTTTGTGCGGATTTTAAATACGATTAGCTCGAATTTTCTTGACTTTCTTCGCACATTCCTTGTAAACATCAAATTCCTGAAAACATAGAAAATACCAGCATAATATGAATAAAGAGTAATTTAATTAATTAAAATGCGGATAAAATTCATGTAAATTGATCCAAATATTCGATACATTTCCGGTTTATCAAACTCCTCTACACTTGAACCTTTGCTTGTCCTCAAGCAAATAGTAAAAAAACATTTAATGCACGGTTTCCGACACAATCGCATGACACAACTCGAATCGTACGTGGCTGAGGGGCGTTACGTTAGAAAGATGGAACTAGGTTCCGACACTAATGATACAGAAATGACACAAAACCATAGGACATGGTCAAAATCCTCCATCCTATGAAAACTAGTCCGAATTATGCTATCATATCTCAACCTAATTCTTTTCGTTCGAAATCAACCGCTTTCATTCTAGTGCAATCACATTAAGCCCTTTATCTTTCGCACGCACATAGTAGAGTAGCCGGTTAGCGATTCTTGTCTCTTATGCACGGGTTTCTGGTACACAAGTTGGTAACCCTTTTTCTTTCCCAAATTATAAATCTCGGGGGATCGAACTGTAGTTCGCCCTACCAAGTTCAACACCAGATACCACTGAACAGGCTTAGAACTGGTCGTTACATCAATTTTTGTTAGTACTGCAACTGTTGGATTAAATGACCTGGTGAAGGTAACCTAACTTAATTAGAGCATTTCATATTATATCTTGATGCTTATCATTTTTTTCTCTTTTTTTCTGATTAAGACCAGTCACTTATATTCATCAGCTCTCTACGTAGTTTATGGATAAGACAGTGGTGATTGCTAGTATAAACTACTCGGGGTTGATCCAAAACTAAAACTTAAGGCTTCAGTATCATAGCCACTCAAACCAATTTGCATAATCTAGAAGATTTAGGTGTCAAGGCGGTATTATTTTTGTCTACTCTTTTTCAAAAAATCTAACGCAGCCTAATTGTGAACAACCTATATACTTTTCGAATGTACCGAGTTAATGTGTCGAGTAAAAAAAAAATTTATGGTTCAAGAAAATTGTTGAAGTACGAATAACTTACGGAAATGATTTTTTATTGAATGGAAAGGGAAATAACAGAAATTAGATGTATGTGCTAACATTTGTTTAAGTTACTAACAATTTTCTCTCTTTTTACATAATGGTTGAATTTTGTTATTTGATGTGATTTTTTGTGTTTGGAAATTTCCATGAGTTAAAATAGTTTCCAATAGACTCAAGCATCATAACAAAACATGTTTGACACAAATTGGCTTGAGTTTAGTGAAAATTTGCCAAAATCAACATCTCCCTTTGGATGTTTCGTCATCCATTCTCGTACTTTCTCTTATGACAGTATGACTACTCTTGCATCTCTTTTATGAGATATTTACCATGCTCCCTTAGGATTGCTCGTTTAGGTTAGTCCTCGAGCTAGACATTAGGGTATATGTCCATGTATGTCCATGTAGGTAGATATTCTCTTTCATCCTTGACGTAAGGCCATCTTGTATGATCATATTAGGACTAGAGATTAGGATAGTTTCCCCTAGTTGTTTTTCTTTTCTTCTCGATATTTTCATTTAAGGCTAAAACTTCTTTTTCTTGGCAAATGTATAAAACATGTTAACCATACAAAAATCCTTTTCATGGTAAAAAACACCAATTAATTCATTTATTTTCGCCATTCGGCCTTTCTCTTCTAAGAACGTGTTAAGTCCTTTCCACTACAGTGCGTGAGTCTCTAATGGTCGAGCAACGGTGGAATGATTGAATTTAACATTGTTCATTTAAAAACACATAAAAAACATCAACATGTGAGCCAAACTATGACACTCTGATTCATAAAAAGGGATACTTAGGCATCTGGTCACGGGGCTCAATTGAGTGAAAATTTGTAAATATTTCCTTCTTTTCCACATGTTTTCTTTCCATGCATTCATGCTTAGCAATTTTTTTCTTCTTTTAGCTCTTAAGCATTAGATTGAACACACCCTTTGATTAGAATAAAAAGAGTGAATCCAGTAGAGTACTACGGACGCGAGGGGTGCTAATACCTTCCCCTCGCGTAATCGACTCCCGTACCCCCGATCTCCCAGTCGCAAGACCTTGATTTCTCCCTTCATGTTTTTCTTTGATGATTTTAATTTCTCTTTATGTGGGATAAATAAATAATCGGTGGCGACTTCATTTATTTTACCACTATAATTAGTATTCGGAGTTTTGGTTGGTGATGATAATATGATGATTTATGATGAGAATGATGATTTGTAATGAGTAAAATTCCATGAAATGATGTATATAATGCATATATGATGTGTTATTGTGATATTGTGAAACCATGATGAATTGTGTGAATTTTGGACTGAATGGGTGTTGAAATCATAAGGAATTTGGACTGGTTCTTTGCAGATAACGCAACAGCATAGTTGTTGTTTTCGCGCCCTCGCCGGGCGAGCTTCCCAAGTCGCCGGGAGAGGCATCTTCGCCCAGACTTCTCCAGGCGAGAGAGAGGGATGATTTTGGCAGGTTTCTTGGAAAATGTATGGAGGGGATGTCTAGCTCTAGCTTTGTCGAGCGAAGCAGAGGC